AATTGTTGTCCAACTTGTAATTTTAGTAGTGATCAAGTCGTCAAAATGAATGCTATTGGCTATTTCAAATTCTTTTTCTCAGATGACGTTTTTCAGTTCACTAACAACTATGATGAACATGTAAGGCATAACAGTAACACACACAAGATGAAATGGGAACCAGTGGCAGTTGATGAGATTAAAAATTATTTTGGACTAACAATTCCTCTGGATATTGTACGTTTTCCTAGTCTGGAAATGTACTGGGCATCAGATGGATTACGTTCATTGAGTAAGTTGCCCAACGTTATGTTGCTAGATCGTTTCAAACAGATAAAATGATACTTTCACATTAGTGACATTACTCGGATGCCTTACATGCAATCTCCAAATTTTGATCCATTATACAAAGTGAGAAAAATCTTAAATTTTATTGTTCCAAAACTTAAGGATATCTACAAAGTTGCAAGACATGTGATAATCAATGAAGCTAAAATACTTTTCAAGGGGAGTCTGAAAATAAAACAATGTCTGAAGGCAAAACATTACAGTTGATATTCCATGTCCTCCAGCACTTACTTACTATATAAAGAGCATGAATGAGCTTGACTAAATTATGATGTTGTACAATTCTGGTAGAAAGTCGGTAAAATGGTGGAAGCTTGTTTTATTTTACCTCTTAGAGACATGCATACCGAATTTTCAAATTGTTGAGGATGTTTACTGTGAGAGGTATGGTACTGCCAGAAGTAAAATGCTGGAGTTCAAGATGAATTTGGCTGAAGAGCTTATTGTTGGCAAAACATTTCGGAAAGGAGCTCGTAGGCCGTTACTTAGAGAACCACATGATTCTCAGAAACTGGAAACGTGGGCAATACTTTCCATTGTTCAGTGAAACTATTCACGACAGTAGGGTTTATAATGAAAGGATTACAAGAGCAAGAGATGTGTGTAAACATGGAAATTCGTGTGATGACACAAGACTGACATATGAAGAAAATCGCCAATGCACCCATTTTATGTGAAGTCACTGTGGGATATACTTGTGTCTCAACAAAAATATAACCTATTTTGGAATTTATCGTACACATAGACAGTATTGGTTGTGAACAATGTTTGCTCAGTATTTATATTCATATTATGATGTCATACAAATTTCATAGTGTTGCGTATTACAATTTCAAATAGCTTGAAATTGAGTTAACTGATAAATTTGAATTTAGTAGTTTAATTGTACTTTGGATTTAGCAGTTAAGTAAAAGCCGATATATATAGTCAGTTTATGATATATGCAAACAAGATTGACACACACAGCTATCCTTTTTTTAACACAAATACGTTTTAATATACACACAACAATACAATTTACAATAACAGTTATTATAAATAGTTACTACAAACAATGATTTATAAACAAAAGTTTCACAAACTTACAAGAAATATAAAGTCTTCTTTCTAGTCTGGAACTTCTTTGATATCTTATCGAGGCTTCACAATGAGCGAGTTAAATACGAGTTGACGTAGGTATAATTCGCTTAACAGAGAGCTAGCTAGCTTTGTCCTTCGTTATTTACCAGCCACACACCCCGAGTTTTCCACCGTTACGTTATGTAATGTTTTCGTAAAAATAATAATGTCCGATGAGAATCCACTGAAGTTAAATGAGTTGTCATGTTCGAACTTTGTAAATGCTCCTTGTCAAATATCTTGAGTTTTCCGATTAATAAACGTTAAGGACAGTTATAACTTACAATGTTTATAGCACACTAGCTTTAGTAAACCAATAATAGACACTCTCTTTTGGCGCATCACATTGGTTATATTTATAGGTGGGTGGAGGCTTTCTAGAAAATTCAGAGTACATAATAATACAAAGCTACATTTAAACATTTACATACATACATATATTGTACATTCTTACTCTCGAGAATCTTCTACAACTTTGAAGAATAGGCGGGTGTTTCGTAATACATATTTAACACTATAAACTATGTATGTTTCTAAATATAAATTTAATCTAAACAAACGTCGATATTAAGATAAATACATAATAACAAATTCTTTACAATAGTCACTGTTTGTTCTGTTGCACTGGATGAAAATATAATCTCATAAATATCACTGGCTTGTGATGGTTTTATTGTTTTGAAATTGTTACATGTTGTATGGTAATTCCTGTATGCTGAATCCGAAAATGATGCCCATTTTTCTCCATCATGTACCGATTTTTCACAAAACTTCATATGCACTTTTACATAAGTGAATCATTAAAATCGGGTCACATTTTGTTATGCTTAATATCTTGACAACAACTTTTTATAGATTTCTGTACACCAATCGTGACTTGAGAATATTGTCGATCGTTGTAGAACCCAAGATAAACACATCGCTAGTGTATAATCGATTAACAGGCTGCATGATGTGTCATTTCTGGATTTGGTGAGAGGTTTGGGCCTTCCAAAGGATTCTTCAAAGATTTTAGGGTCCAGACTTCGGGCCTAGAACTTACTTTCTCCAGGGATATCAATTTAATGATACAGAAATCATGAGAAAGAGTTTATACCATACTTTTCGCAAGAAGGTTCACTAGTTTATTGCAACCAATGCTAGGAGCTGCAGTCTATGAACAAAATGACTGACGATTGTTCATTGATATCTCCAAAAGAAGTCTAAAAGGTGTTCTCCTTCCCAATAGTAACATATATGCATCTGTTCCTATTGCTCATTCGGTTCACTTGAAGGAAACGTACAAAAATCTCGAACTTCTTCTTACTAAGGCCAAATACCAAAAACATGGTTGGCTACTTTGTGGAGACTTAAAAGTCCTTTGTATGTTGTTAGGTCAACAATCCGGTTATACAAAGTTTCATGTTTTTTCGGTTAATGGGACAGCAAAGCACGAAATTAGCACTGGATAAAGAAGCAATGGCCACATAGAGTCATCCTGATACCAAGATCGAAAAACATTGAACGTGAAAGTTTGGTTGATACAAAGAAAGTCCTATTACCTCCACTTCACATAAACTGAGCTTGATGAAGCAGCTTGTAAAGGCCTTAGACAAAGATGACGACTGTTTCAAGTATCTATGTTGGCAATTCCCAGCTCTTTCAGAAGCGAAACTCAAAGAAGAGATTTTTGTTGGGCCTCAGACTAGAAAATTGACTTCGGATAAAAAGTTCGAAAGGACAATGAGGAAATTTGAAAAAGACGCGTGGATTGCCTTTACAGATTTTATTGACAACTCTTCAGGAAACAACAAGGAGTGAAATTACGAAAATATTGTCAGTAACATGCTCGATAAATTCAAAGAGATGGGTTGTAATATCAGCTTGAAAGTTCATTTCTTACACTCATATATTGACTATTTCCCTGGAAATCTCAGTGCCGTCAGCGAAGATCAAGGGGAAAAGTTTCATAACGACATCAGGGAAATGGGGAGGAAGTACCAAGGAAAGTGGAACATCAGCATGATGGCTGATTACTGCTGGTCATTGACACAAGATGCTCCAGATGCAATACATAAATGAAAGACCACAACACGTAGTTTTAAGACTAAAAGACGTAGATTTCACAAGATATTCGGGATGAATGAGGATGCATATTAGCTTGACATCAGTGTTCTTCCCTTTTCTTCAATTTGTTTGTATTTTGTTATTAAACATAACAATGAAAAATGTTCATTTCTGTAAACGAAATAATAATTTGATCTAAGTAAGATTTTTTCTTCCCGATTTTTAAAAAAGTCCTTACGTGATAGAAAAAATGAATATTATTGTCGACATTTGCGTTATTAAAACCAAAACAACTTTTATGAAGTTTAAATTCGAAGGTCTGTGTATTCAATCTGGAAAGGGTTATCAGTGCCATTTTCACGGACCTTGTCAGAGTCTTGCATAAAACTCCTACTGAAACATGGATTCTTGTCACAGTGTTTGAAATAGAGTATCCTCGACCAGACAAATCTTTGATTTGTAACATGCATGACAACGGTATTTCAGTCCTGAAGCCGTTAAGACTGTGTTAGCTTACTACTACTGGGGATAGCATGACTGTTGCACTTTCATAGATTTCATACTAATGCTATACATTCTAATTAGTTAGATGACAATGAGTCACAGTGAAATCTATGAACAAGTGACTGTATTAGGATGCTCTTCATTTTCACACTATAAAGGGGTTGTATTCCCTCAGTATTTGTCTTTTATAACATTTTTTCTCTTGCTGTTTCCATAATTATTTACATTACTGTAGAGGGTTTTGACTAAATAACGGAAATATATTACTTTTTAACTTCAAGTTTTGGTGTCTCTAAACGGGTAAAAGTTGCCATTTGTATAATAATAATATGTTATTGTTTTTACAGAGAAAGGTTCTAAAAATATCAAGTTAAAATGGTCTGTCAGATTTACAAGTAGACATAATCTCGTATGTGAACGTGTAACTGAACCTCAGGACCAGTGTCAAAAATGGTATCAGTATGGATATCGAAGAAGAAAACACATTGCGAACATGCAATAAACTCGAGTATTATAGAATGAAAAGTATGCTCAGAACTTTACGTTAGCCTAAAAATCCAACCTCTGTCAAAAGAACTGAAAAAGGAATGCCCAAGATAGGGTGTCATAGCATGTCTACCATTCAGAAACCTATAATAACACCATAATTAGAAAGGCCCGTTAAGGCATGCTAAGCATGGTGGAGGTTTATGATGATATAGGCACTTTTGTGATGGAATAACTTAGGAGCTGACGGATAGAGTAATAGCAAATTATTATTGAAAATAGGATGAGCATTTTATTTTCAAATGAAGCTGATCTGTTTCAGAAAGATAATGCACTAAATCCTGCTACTGAACTTGTAAACAATGGTTTAAAGAATATGAGAAAGAATTTGGATACCTAGCTTTGCCACCACAATTACCAAATTTAAATGTTATAGTCTAAAAATATGCTTAAACCAATTACCAATTCAATTCAATTTTGTGTTAGTTAAAATGAAAATATAATAACTTAATTGCAACCTTTTTGTTTCTATTTGAATCCTTTCGTTTTCTTTGATGAGTTTTTTATTTTTGTACCACTGCACTTGAGGCCATGGGTTCCCTTTAAGTTTACACCGCAACTTGAACTGTGTCTTCAGCTTGGTTTTCACTCTAATAGGATGAATTCTGGCAGATGGTGGCTTGGCTGAAAGAAAACAACAACAAATATTAATAACAGGTGGCTGACACTAAAGTTGATAGCATGTGAAATTACATGTATACTGCATGTAAAGCTTTTAAATTACTTATTTGTTTCATTATTCCGTGAAACACTACACAAGGTCTATCCGTGCATAGTCATTATAAATTAGCTCATTTTTCGCCAATCTCTTTCTTGGTGTCAATGAAAAATGTCTACAGTGCTTAAAGTCATTATATTATAATAGGTTTATATATGACAATATTACCATATTTAAGTATCCTGATCAAGTTAAGCAATTCTTGATTATCTAAACAATAAATACAACAGTAATCCATTATTTTTTAACATTAGCCAGACCATAAAATTACATTTTTAGTTATATTAGTTCATAATTATATGATAACTTTGAGTGTGAAATTTGTCATAAATATACATTCACTGTCTTCTTTCTTAACTTCACAAATTATACACCGATTCTGTTTAAAGAAAACGCAATTAACGTACGAATGTTTTTGCATAAATGATTTGGAATATGTTAAGAAATTCTTATGTAAGAGTGGTTTCCATATTTGTTTGATAAATAGAAAAACCGTGACTATTTTAACTACTTTAGTGTGTAGTGCCCAGAAATGACAATATTTATATCATGTAAGCATGCCTTATATACAGGCACAACTATAGAGCACTGGTAACTGCTCTAGAAATCAGGTATGGAACTCAAAATCACTCTGAAGTCTACAGGGCTAGGTTTAGGTCTAGAGTACGTGCTGAAGGGGAGGGCCTGCAACAGCTGGCACAGGATTTGGAAAGTATGGCACACAAGGCCTACCCAACTGCACCACCCGATGTCCTCAAGTTGTTGCTGAGGGATCAGTTTGTAGACGCCTTGGACAGTCCACAACTGGAGATACAAGTAAAGCAAGCATACCCCTCTACTATGCAGGATGCAATGGCCAGAGCTCTTGAATTCGAATCCTACATTAAGTCCAGCACAGAGGTACCAAGGTTTGTACAGTCATCAGGATTCAAGGCCAGAAAAAGGAAGCTTTCAGAGAAGTTTGAGGGACTTTGCTGGCACTGTAACAAACCTGGGCACAAGAGAGCTAAATGCCAGCAACTTAAACATAGGAAAGATGCCACGGCAAGAAAGGCTGCTACCCAGAAAGGTTGTTGGAACTGGGGCGAGCAAGGACATATAAGGAGCCAGTAGTGTAAGAAGAATACTACCAATAAGTCAGCCTCGAGGAAACCAGTAGTGGTTCATGTTGAGGGCCGCCCACCAACCCCCATCGTGAAAGCTCCAACAGCTAGGTGTAAAATGCCAAGCACACATAGTCTCTATGTGACAGGAAAGCTGGATGGCCAAAAGTGCAACTTTGTCATAGATTCTGCATCTCAGCAAATCCCTGTGGATATCAAGGTGCAAGATCACAAAGGAGTACCAGAAGCCATACAGAAGCTTTATGGTGTGACAGGACATTATGCAAGGTTGTGGGGACCAGTGTGGATAACTATTGAGCTCATGGTCATAAAGGACAGACACAAAGTATACTTGGCTGACATTGAAGACCAATGCATATTAGGGTTGGACTACTTACTACCGAGGAAGTGTTTAGTTAACGTTGATAAAATGAAGTTTGGGAACAACAAAGGCCAAATTCCGGTAAGTGTTGCTGCATTTGTTAAATCTCATGGAAATGCCGACGGACTGAGCCAAAGACCCTGCAAAAATGCCTGCATACATTGCTGCAAAAGAGAGGTTGAACTAATCAGGTGCCACCAAGCTGAAGACAAAGTGACTGAAGGAGTTGATGATGGTGAAGTGGAACCAAATATAGATATTAAAGCAGAACAGGAGAAAGACCAAGATTTGAAGCCAATAATTGATTTTCTGCAAGCAAGTGTTTTGCGCCCTGCTTGGGAGAAGGTGTCTAGCTTAAGCTCTGTGACAGAGAACTTTTGGGCACAATGGGACCGGTTGAAGCTTGAAGATGGTATTCTTGTCCCGAGATGGGAAAGTGACGACCTGGCAAACGGTTATACCGAGAAAGTTACGGGAAATTGTGCTGCGTCAATCCCATGATAGTTTAACAGGAAGACATCTCGGAGTTAAGAAGACATTGAGTCACCTACGACAGAGATTTTACTGGATAGATATGAGGCAAGATGTGAAAGAATGGTACAGGACCTGCAGCACATGTTGTATAAAAGGGGACCCATGCACAAGAGACGTGCTCCAATGAAGTTATATCAAGTTGGCACACCAATGGAAAGAGTAGACATTGACATTGCTGGTCCTTTGCCCCAAACTC